GTATTATATCTGACGTTAAAGTATTATATCTGACGTTAAAGTATTATATCTGACGTTAAAGTATTATATCTGACGTTAAAGTATTATACCTAACGTTAAAGTATTATATCTGACGTTAAAGTATTATATCTGACATTAAAGTATTATACCTGACTTTAAAGTATTATACCTAACGTTAAAGTGTTATACCTGACGTTAAAGTATTATATCTGACGTTAAAGTATTATACCTGACGTTAAAGTATTATACCTGACGTTAAAGTATTATATCTGACATTAAAGTATTATATCTGACGTTAAAGTATTATATCTGACGTTAAAGTATTATATCTGACGTTAAAGTATTATACCTGACGCTAAAGTATTATACTTGACGCTAAAGTATTATACCTGACATTAAAGTATTAGACCTGACGTTCCTCGATAGGTTTTAAATGTATCATCTGTTACTTTTATTACCAGAACATTCCTGGTCATTATCGAAAGATCCAAATAAAATTTTTCCTCAATTTAAACATTTAGCTTCTCTAACTTTCAGGTGCGTTGTGTATATAGCGAGTTGATTTTGTCATTGATAATATAAAATATACAATTTATATCTTTATAGTCTTTGTTTTATAGCAAAGCCACATTGAGCTATATGTTATGTCCACCACGGGGAATAAAAACCCCGGATTTTAGCGTTTAAGTCCGTAGACTTACCGCTGTCCCACCGGGGGACTATATCTTTATATCAAAAGAAAAGAGCGTGAACACTTTCGGTTGTTAATTTTTAACGGAAAAACTTCAAATCTAAGTTATAAAACAAGGCCATCTAATTTTCAATTGTGGTGAAATTGTAGAGAAATGTTGGCTTTTTTGTTACAGAAAAAGAAAAGTTTTTAATTATTTTTTCTATATATGAACTTTTTAATTTCTCTGCTACTTACTGTATTCCTTATGCATAAAACTTTTCTGAACTCATATTAAAACTCAGTTGTCTTCAATTTTTGTTACAAAATAAAATTCATAGAAATATAATAATATATTAAATTAAAACAAGATATTACTCGATTGGATTTCAACTGAACTATATGAGAAATAGCCCGTTTCTCACAGACACATGAAATATATATATAAATTGTCGGTTTAGTTAATAATGGTTTATATTTACTTTAGCAAACTTTCTAAGTCCAAACGAGAATTGTGTTTGAGTTTTACTTTTATAGGATATTCGAAGTCCTTATTTTATGCTATCCAACACAATAATTTACTAGGCCTACTCTTTTTCTATTTAAACAAACACTCTCTCTAACACTATCTCATCTTCAAATAAACTTTAACTGAACACTGTTTTTTATATAAATTTTCTTAATCTTCACTGATTCATCAGTACCTTAGCTCAAATGTTTCTCTAATTATCTCAGTTTTAAAATGGGTAGCTTTTACAGCCTGCTATTATACCCGGTTTTAGTTCCACGACCTCAGTTGGTTAGTAAGATATTTTGAGATATTTTCGTTTGTTAATTAAAACAGAAAGTTCAAGTTAGATCAATAAACATATATCAAATATTCACAATATTAAACGCTAAAAGAGTGTTTATCACAGGACAAAGCACAGGCTCTCCTCTTTCCAATTATTGAGTCCTGTCGCACACATTTGTCAGCCCTGGTAGCATTCTGCCTTTTGGTTTCAAACTTTTGAACAAGAAGAGGCAACCTAGTGCTATTTTGTTATATATTCTTTTTAGTTCTTAATAAATTATTTCATTTTCACTTCATCCAATTATTAATTACAATTATGTACAATTTTTCGCCAAGTTCCTAGTATAAATAAGACTGTGCTTTTAATATAAAGAAGTGGAGATCAAGAAACTAATCACAGTTTAACACTAAAGCTACAGGGTAAACAAACACAAGAGTATAGCATCAATAACTTGATGTATAATTGCACAAACTGAGCAAATTAATCCAAGTTAACTGTTATATTTTCAAAATAAATCGAAATTAAGTTGAATACTTATAAGAAACTAAGAATAATATCAATATTTTTACAGCCACTGAGAACAAAAAACTATAAAGACTTGACTAAATAAGTAAAATGCTTTAACTTTTTAATTTAATATGATTTTCGAAGACAATGAAGATAGGTATTTTGCCTAACAGTAAATGGGCCTAACACTATAATTGCATTTTTTGTATTCCAAGACCGTAGACGTTAATGCCTTAACAGTTAACGAATAAGCCTACAAATTTACTACCTAACGCATCTAAGTAGAACAGACATATTATTTACCACCTAATTGACACAATATTAATTACCAATACAAATAGGACAAACAAATGTAAGCCTAATTTAGTATTAATAATTTAATGTGAAATTACAAAATCTATGTAAATTGATCAGCGTTGACTATTTTCAAAATAACTCAAATTCAGGTAGAATATTTGTAAGAACTTAAGAATAACATTAAATAGGCCTAAATAAAAGATGAAATTCCAAGAGTTTAGCTTTCAATCGTCTGTACTCCCTACGCCCCCGTTTTTTCTTCGTCATATGATTACCCCTATTTCCCAGAATTGCATCACTTAATTAGAACAATGGTTAAATACAATTTATACTACAATGCACAAAAACATAAAACAATGTTGATCAGCTTTTTATTTTGTAGCTTTTATATCAATCCACGTATTTTAAGACGTATCTAGACCAATGCAATTAGTGATAAGTTAACTTTAACATATGCTACAGGTGAGATACGCGTAGTGTATTTTTGTTTATGCTAGTGGTTTAAGTAGCTGTTGGAATATTTTAAACTATATCTACTGTGCAGGAGTTATATAAAATCTACAAGTCAAAAGCTATATAATTTGAATGAAATAAGAAAACTCCATCTTGTAGTGGTTCACAAAAACGAATACAACAGATTTAACATACTATTAAATGAATGTGAATTGAATCACAATTTATCATTCAGTTTATTAGTTATCACTGAGTTATACCGGTTTCGGGGAATTCCACCCCTCATCAGTAACCCTGGACAAGGGCAAATGCTGCATATTCTTAAAATTTCTATATCATGAACCAGGATAGTTCGCCCAGGAATTTCACAAAAATTCCAATAGAACATACGAGCAAAAACCACCTTAAAAGCAAACTCGCTCTTGAAATAACACTTCAGATAATTTATCTCAATGGCTAAAGATGCTAAAATATTGATAATAGCAAGAAAAATTGATATTGCGATTGTTAGACAAAATTCAAAATTCATCCACTTGTTCTTCATATTATTATTATTCTTGTTTCACAAGCCTACAGAAAAAAACAGCTATGAATATTTTATTCACATCTGGGCAAACTTACTAAAAATAGACTCATGCCCAGATCATAGGACTATTTTTATATTGATTATTGAAAGAGAAGATGAGATTTTATCAGTTTTTCATCGCTACTGGCCAAGTTTCTCTTCGAAACCATTCAAACACCAAAGCCTACAGCAAAAACGGCTAGGTTTACTGTGTCAAAACCTAAACAAACTCCTGCTATTTTTAAGTTGATTTTTGAAAGTCGAGATTTCCACCCTCTAAAATTTTCTAAGTTCTTCTTCTCTACCAACATAAGGTCTTCGAAGCCATTCAAGCATCGCAGAAATGTAGAAAGAATTTAAATACCATTATACTAATCGGAAATGCTTTGTTTTATCAGAGTTAAAAATGTGTATACTTTAAACAGTGTCTTCAACTTGGTTATTGTTTTGAATTTCGCGCTAAGCTACAAGAGAGCTATTTG